TTCTTCATTATCCTTAAGTTCATTGTTTTCTTCTGACTCTGGTAGCTCAAGTTTGAAATTCCACAAGTTCATAGTTGCTGGAGACCAAGATTTTAAAGATGATGAATCTGAATCCATGGTTATCATCTAACTCTGAAGCAGACGACGGATGAAGGGCAACAAAGTCCGCAGCTTTTTGTTTTTAATTTTTAAAGGTATATTGTATGTGTAAAATATATGTATATCTTATTTTAGATTTATTGTTGAATTAACATTCATTGTATTGCATGTGTGAGGACATAGCATTACATATAATTAGTGTACATGTATATGACTCCTTTAAAACCGGAAGTTGTAGTCAGCCATGTTTGTTTACTTTTGGTGACACCTCACCTTGACTAAAAATGTGTATTCATACGCTTGACCAGATGGGCGTGTATAGCCTGATATGCTCCCATCTGGTTAACATAGAGTTAAAGGGGGAAATGAATGGAAATATATTTACGTGGACTGCTTTCACATCTTCAAGCCGTAACAGGTCCATTGTATGTGAACAAGCAACAGCTACGTTGTTCACAATTCAGTTTGGAGGTCAAGACACATCGTACAATATTCCTTTTCCCCCGCGAAGATGAGTGTTTGTTTCCTTTTCCAGTTATTTTCAAAGTTACTGCGATTACGAAGAAGAACGTGTGTGGTAAAGCGAGCTTGAGATATATCACAATCAAGCTTCAACAGGGCTTTCAAGATGACGGTAAGAACTGATGATATAACGAAACATAAAACAATACCATACTGAAGTTACTAGATAGGAAAAGTAATCAGAAGACAGAATCTATATACAAGCTTTAGATCGTTTTTACTAATTCCCTACTTTTGATGTGTTAACAATGTAACATTTCTTAAGGGGACTAAATGGCAAGATTTTTATTTCTTACCTTATGAACGGCATTGTAACATTTAAACATCTATTAAAACATATGTACTTTCTGTTCATTTCAGTATTTTAAAAATTGCATAAACGGAAAGGTCACATGATGAACCCGTCTATCTCCGAACAATTATCAAGTTTTATCAGAAAGTTGCTTTATTTGTGACTCGTCTAATTTTAAGTATCACAAAGCTTGTCCGAAATCAAAGCCATGGAGATAAATAACGAAATCCAACCGTTTAGTACCTTTCACTTAATTTCCTTATAATGAATTCATTTGTATCTGTTATTTATTTATCTTGTTGGATGAACCAGGTTGTATCAGTGTACGTCCAGATAACCGATCGCCTTTCAATGAACAAACTGTAAATAGAAACTGAAGACGTTGTTAGCATATGGTTTAAGGCCTTTCGATCTGTCAAACTGTAAATAAATCTTCAATCACCATACAAAACGATTTGAGTGTGAAGCATGTTATTTTTATTGTGATTTTGTTATAATAATACAGAAACCGTTTGAAATAAAACATTTTAAAAAATAATAAGATTCACTGATTTGCTTGAAGACAGAAAAACCAATCATACAATACCTGACAAAGCGTAGACGAATAGACCACAGTACATTATCTTCAAGTTTTATAATCTGTGTTTACCATTTCGTCACATTATGTTCGACCTAAGTGTACAAATGATTACATCACAACAGAAAAGGTGTTCGAATCCTTACCATCTCTTTCACTACGTAATTCAGTGCTGGTACACTTCACATCGGCCGTTTGTCTGATGAAGGTGACGGTGGAGTTATCTTCTATTGGTTGTGTTGTAAGAACTGCTGCTCTATATAATATACCTGACGATTAAATGTTGAACAAATGTATAATGACTTGAGGGATATTCTCATCTTGCAATATAACCGTGCGAAGTAAGGTATTGACAATGCAAAAATGCAAATATGACATATTTTCGGTGATCTGTTCTATTGATTGCACATATAATCACATAATACTGAAATACATTGAACTTGCTTACTTTCTCATTCAAATTGACTGGGTGTGTAGATGGGGGGAGGGGAATGTAGGCGGGCATGCTGAGTGGTCAATAAATTAGCTAAGGACAGCTGTCGTCGATGAAGCTGAAGACGCCAATTCTTCCGGAACACCTGGTCTTATTCTCTTTGTACTTTTCAGGTGTCTCCGTGAAAATCTTTCTTTCGTTCATGCTTTTCCTCTGTTTGATTCCTTTGGATTATGACTTTGTTCACGTGTAAGTATTTTCTAGTTTCTTTTCACATCATGTAGCGGATCAAGTCTTATCGAACCAACAAGAGGGTGTGTGTATAAACCTTAATGAAGCCCCTTTTATAGAAGACGAAATTCAGTTAATTGTTTCCATGGTGACCAAAGTAATATAGCAACTGAGAACTCCTTTACAACAGAATATACTACTATACCACTTTACTGGTGAGTTTAGTGGGAAAATTTGAAAGGGTTTCGGGAGAAAATACTCTAGGAATGCATAAATCAGTGATTTTACCTATTGTTTCTATGGTAACAAATGAAAAATCCGACATGAAAACTCGCTTGAAAAAACTACCAGACCCCTGGATTGACGTATGAAGAATATTTCGAGGAACTGCTCTGGAACCGAATGGAGTTTGACATTTTTACATTAGGGTTCCATGGTAGCCTTGAAAATATTGAAAACTGCCCCATAAGGAATGGTACTTCCATACATTGTACTCCTTAAATGATTTGTGAAGAAATCTCTGTGTTGACATATTTCGGAGATATGTTTCCTACCTTATATATTTACAAGGGATGGTTAGATCTTCAAACACAGTACAGATGGATAACAAATATGAAAACATAGATCACATTTATATCTGGTCAGTGTAATCTGATATCAAATCATTAACATTGTATGTAAACTATTAATGGACCGGAAGACGTTGTCTTATCCTTCAGGTATTTTTTAGGAGTCTCCGTGTCAATCTTTCTTTTGGTCATATTTTGATTTGTTTATAGACGTTCAGTGTGAATTAAGACTCTATTAACATAAGCTTTTTTTTCTTTCGATATCCGAGATTCAAGATTTTTTAACTGACAAATTTTCCCGTATGATCCAATGTTAGATTTATAATACATTTCTGTTTTACCTACGTGATCTGGGTTTGATTCTTCGAGCAGATGTGAAAAGAATTGGTCATTTGCTCGTCCAGGATAATTTTCTACGAATTATTCTCTGGTCTTAAAATGAACACCAATTGAGGCTTATATTTGTGCACACCATACTGATAAGCATTAGTTGATCAAGCTGAAAACTCTCGCAATGTCGTTAAAATCTTACAATTGTTTACAATTAGAATGAAATACTGAAATAGCATAATAAAGAGAGGGAATGTGTCACCTTTTGTTTTTGTTTATCGTGATGTTTATCCTACTTGTTTACACTACAAGATACCTGGATGGGCAGGTGCAAACTCGGACAGTAATACAGGAACGTGGTCTTATCGAGACCCAAGACATCTTCGGCCACTTTAAAGGCACACGGTCTCCACTATAGAATAAGCTTACTATCTCTCGAGCCTAGTTTACCACACTTTACACGTGTTAACATTTTCTGAGGTACAGTAGCTGTGAAGGCGAGAAAAGGAATTCCCTAACGAATGGTAACTCTGCAGTAATATCAGATTTACAACATATTTTTTTTTCATGACAAGTTCCGTAATTGCGAAACATATTCATACAAACGCATTTATATATAATTTATATTGTGGAAATCTAACAAAATAATATTCTTCATCCACTGCAGGTTTTCGATCTATTATCAACTAGATTCATCGGATTTGAAGAAAATATGACGATTAGTTAAAAAAAATAATTATGAATTAATTAGATTTCTAATTCTTCATAGTCGGAATTACTAACAAACTCTTTACGGTTCACAAACACAAGAGTAACTAGGGCGAAGAAATTGTGAAAAAAATCCAAAACCAAACAACATCAAAGAAAAGATCGATGTCAAAATAGTCTCATATCCACGTTTTCAAACAACTAGGATAAGAAAAAATATAATGAAGAAATTTAGTTAACATTTTAGACAACACAATCATTCTCTATAAAATGAACGGTAATGACGAGTGCCGTTGAACAGAATGTGTCGCTTTAATTATAATCAACGTGACCCCTGGGGAGCACAATAAGATGATATTACAAACTACTGTGAATATGGTAAGTATCCATGTAAACGTGATACAGTGATATGGTACCGTGGTTTTTATAATGTCAGACCGGGTGAAGACGCCTATTTATAACGTATATTCTCTATATATGAAAACAAAGCAGGTATGTAGCACTTCACAGTAATGGGATCTGTACATATATCAGGGTAAAACCTTATTGATCAAAGGTCAGAACCTTATGCTCCGGTCAGGTTTTCCTACTTGTACATCAAGGTACTTGTTGTGTTGTTACTATTTCGGTTTTTTACGTAATCTGATATATATGTTTCCTTTCAGATGTATTTACAAAACCATTGTTTGTTTCGACTGTTACATAATCGACACATCTTGTGATCAAACATAATCAATTGAGAGTAATTTAGTTATAACCGTATGTCCGATATCTTATTTTCCCGTTATTTTCGTAAATAATTCATCTCCCGGTTTTAATTGTAGATAGCGGGTATTTTTTTAAAATTCTCAATACACCATAATTAATTAAAGTTTGTCTTCAATTGAATCAAACTTTATAAAAATGTCAAGAGATACCTTTCAGCAATACAAATTTTTGCAAAACTTTTATATTTCATGTCCGTTCTTGATAAAAAGAATATTGAACAGTTTTTTGACCCGACTGAGGAAATTTATTGTACAAATGATACCATTCCCATTTCAATTTAAAATTATTTGAGTGAAAGCATCTTGTAATCTTGTAATCTGCAGTTTTATCATCATAAAAACAAAAAGTTAATTCTGTAATGAACTATGATAAGATAAATTCGCTATTTCAATTTAACTCTATATATAAGTGACGAGACATTTGTTGTGTTTTGAAGGTCTGAAGTCTGGCAATACATAATATATTCCCAGAATGCATGGTTTGGAATTGTTCGTGCTGTTTTTCTTTGGACCAATTTTTATAAAAGGTAAGTAGCGAGAAATAGCATGGCTGAAAGTTGACCTGATCTGATGGAAATGCAGTCAAATTATTATAATTTTTTTTAACTTGTGAGGAAATATTTTGATCATGAATTGACGCATGTGCAAAACGGCATTGAACAAATTGCGCTTTTTTTTTCTTCATTAACAGCACAGTTCAACAATATGATATCCCAAATGATGAGTGGAGGAACCGGAAGTGGATCATCGACAACCGGAAGTGATGGTTGTGCTGGTGCGAGGGTGTCGTGTCTTCCGGCGCCGTGGTGCAGACGGACGACAGACAATCGCGGATGTTCTAAATGCGAATGTGGAAAACAAGGTAAGCATCAGTAAATAGAGAATATTGATTACCCTAATTGATTAATTAATTTAATAACCTGTCCGCGTGTCCTTTTGCTTATCAAATCAATTATCAATCCGTTCATTGATTCATATTTACAAGAGTAAACACGACAACAAGATATATAGCATTTGGTCGGGTGTAATTAAGGACGAACAACAAACAAATAAAATGTATTCATTGCTTCACGTTAACAAACAATTAATTGTCTATGCGCTAGATTACTTGTTAATGTAAAGAAACGTGTTACTACCACAGGGGACAGGAATAATACTTCTCTATATTGCTTGGTAGCTGATAATTTTCGCGAGTATAAATGTACACGATTTTCTTTAAAACGACAGAAATATACTTTGTTTTTTTTTTAAATTTTCCACACTGGACATCTTAAACAAGTGTGTTTCATTATTTCGCGTACTAAATTTTTGCGGTCTTTGAAATGTAGCGTAACATACTGAAAATATCATTACCGCGAAAAATAGGCTATACGGTAGTATCTCACATAAATCTGAGAGGAACGCGTTCACTTTCTTCAAAATAAGCTCTGTAGAAAACATAAAACATAAAGCGAGACAGAAATATCGTGATTCAAATTCGATGTGTAAGCTTATCAAGATTACAGACATACTGGTTATTAGTCCCTACGTAACATATTATAGGAAACGGGTATGTCATCATTTCCTGTGACGATTACGTTTTATCGTAATGTCTTATATTACAATGGGTAGATTTTACCTTCACGCTGAAAGATACTTACAGGATTAGTTGGGCTGCATCTTGTGCGCAGATAAAGTTAATGAGATAGAGTTGGCTGTCGTATGGTGTCTTCAGAGAGACTAGACATACCACATAAACCACTCTCTGCTTGCTTGCTTCTTTATGTAAGAAAACTGCAAATGCTATGCGATATCTTGTTTTTCTGATGTGTAATCTAAAATTTGTCATTTTCCTCTCAGCAGGAAATACACAGGATAGTGATGATAAGTCGCCATTCCTTCCCAATCACAACCAACAGATGACGCCACAGTCCTACAGTTCATTCCTAAACATGTTATCAGGCGCCAATGCGCAAGGATTTGGTCCAAACTCAGGCGCAGGATTGATGTCTATGGGCGGTATAAATCCAGGGTTTGGTAATCTTAAGATATTTCTTATATTCATTCTGTTAAACCCAACAGTTTTTTTTTTTCAAAATTATATTTACATTTACGATGTATTTTCACTACGTAAACAAATTCCATTTCATTCTTGTTTGCAGTAGTACGGACCGAAGGAAATGTGCGAAAGAAATAATATTTGCTTTGATTGGAAAACCCCTAAAATTACTTCATGGTGCTAAAAAACAATGATTATGAATTCTCGTATTTGTGCCTTTTTCACTCTTTAATCAATTGTTCAAACGCGAGAACACTCATTGAATTTCTTTCTTTATTGCACTATTGTAGCCTTTCTTGGCTGATCTACCTACCTGGCCGATGATAAAAAATATGTATTAAATTTGTTTAAACCAAGTCATTGGCTTGAGAAACATAAGAAATATATACATGAACATTAAATAGTTATTTGTTTTAAAATATAATTTGTGCGTGTGATTAGGTTTATCTAATATCACGTGTTGACACGTATAAGACCACATTCGGATTTAAAATTTAAAAAGTAAATGTTCAATGTTACACTTCAGTTCTCATCATGATCACGCTTGGATCTTTTTTAAGATCTGGAAATGAAGTATTTATAATGCTTACATTTTTTAAAAGTCTTCTGATTTTTTAGGGTTTCGAGACTAAAACGTCATATGGCTATATACGTACATGTATGGTACTTTATTTAAAATACCTTCTCGAGATGCTGCGATCTTAGAGTCACTTATAACCATTAAGAGTCAAAACTGTTGTTTAACAATAGAACCGGAAGGTTATTAATGTAGAACATGGCAACATAATCACAATTTCAACTGAAATAGCATAAAAATTGGGCAAACATGAACAAAAGAAAGATTTACACACAGACTCCTGTAAAAGTACAAGGATAATAAGACCATGTGTTCTTGAAGAGTAAGCGTCTTCTGCTTCATCGACGACACCCGCCATGTAAACCTTGGTCAATCCAAGTAAGTAAATGCCACGTTTTCTAATACAACAATGGAATCAACAGGCATCAAACACGTCCAGCTTCATGTCACACAAAGAAATACATCATTTCTCAATGAGATCACCATGACGACCATAGAATCCAATCCACTGTCTATTTACATGAAAACAATAAGCAACGACATAAATCTGAGAGATTTTCCGAACTAAACAAAGAACCTTGTTTTTCCAATCTATAATGGTTATTCGCTATCATATCCTGCGTTCACTTCTCAATAGTAATATTTCAATTCAATGAGGCTTGTTTTTACCGTACAAATTAACTCGTACCTAATAGTTTTATACTACTCTGTTGCGTAACTTCGAAACAAAGCATTTACATTCACAGATCAAACGTCGATAGTATGCTCTTTGTTTTAATTCATCAAATGGCGGCACGTTCAGAACATACACATGTACTGGACAAAAATATATGGTATCTGAAAATTATTTCTTGAAGTATAGGACTAATGCCCTTCCTCATTTGGAGTTTGACTATATCGATCACTTTGGATTTTCCGAGTCGCATCCAAGGCTTCATAGTTTAGGCCTTAACATCACTGACGAGTCCTAGAAGGACGAAACAGCTGTATGATGTACAATCACTAACGAGTCCTAGAAGGACGAAACAGCGGTATGATGTACAATCACTAACGAGTCCTAGAAGGACGAAACAGCTGTATGATGTAACATCACCAACGAGGCCGAGCAGGACGGAACAGTTGTATGATGTACAATCACTAACGAGTCCTAGCAGGACAAACATTTGCATGATGTACAATCACTGACGAGTCCTAGAAAGACGAAACAGCTGTATGATGCAGCATCACTGACGAGTCCTAGAAGGACGAAAAAGCTGTATGATGTACAATCACTAACGAGTCCTAGAAGGACGAAACATTTGTATGATGTACAATCACTGACGAGTCCTAGAAAGACGAAACAGCTGTGTGATGTAGTATCACTGACGAATCTTAGAAGGACGAAACAGTTGTGTGATGTAGCATCACTGACGAGTCCTAGAAGGATTAAACAGTTGTGTGATGTAGCATCACTGACGAGTCCTAGAAGAACGAAACAGCTGTATGATGTAGCATCACTGATGAGTCCTAGTGGGACGAAACAGCTGTATGATGTAGCATCACTGACGAGTCCTAGAAGGACTAAACAGCTGTATGATGTAGCATCACCGACGAGTCCTAGAAGGACGAAACAGCTGTATGATGTAGCATCACCGACGAGTCCTAGAAGGACGAAACAGTTGTATGATATAGCATCACTGACGAGTCCTAGAAAGACCAAACATCTGTAAGATGTAGTTTAATTCATTGTTTGGCACTAACGCCAGTCTGATATGAAACAGTAATATAGACTCGAAAGGTATGATGTTGCTCTGTCGAGGTACTAAGTACAAGGTGCCGTGTAGGGGTTGACAGTGACTGGACAGAGGACGTTTAGTCCGTGCTGAACGTTCACTAACACACATATTGTCATGCTGGCTTTCGTGCGATGATTTAAATGAAATGTATTCTAACATCTGGCTTCATACTCCTCCGATTTATGAAATGTCTCCTGGCATTTCTCAGCCCTTATAAAACCTAGTGATATAAACATAGACTACAAGTTAGAGATCATTAGTCTAGAAAAAAAAAATCTGTCTGTTTCGAGACCTCATTACAATGTCGAAAGTTTATCTAATTCCTCAGCAAAACCTCGATACAATTAACGCCATCTGCCAACACAGATTCAAACCGAAATCTTTGCGTCTTCTGTATTTCATTATCCATAAAGGTATGTAAGAAAACCCTACCGACCCTCCTTTGTTATTTAGGTCGTGAGCTTTATCTTCTTTCTGTTGTTTAGGAGGTTCGCAGGTAGGCCCTATGAATCCCATGGCGTCTATGTTCGGAGCAAATAGCATGTATGGCGGAGGCCTTTCCGGATCTATGGGTAGTGCTGGGGGACATAACCCTCCTAACACAGACGGCACCGGAAGTGACTGCGGCCCCGCCCCATATACCTGCATGGCGCCACCACCTTGGTGCCAGAGGTTGTATGATTCGCAAGGCTGTGTGAACTGCTATTGTGGTCAAGGTAGAAAATCCTTATTTCAAGCAAAATATAACTATAAATTCGTACTTTACACAAGAAATAACAATACTTTCCGATGGATTTCGTGTATCTGTTCAAAGCAAAATTTCAAAGATAATTTAATTTGTGGTCTAAAGTGAGGCACGTTACAGATTTTCCCTTTATTGTCCGTAGTATTTACACACTGCCTAACTGATAAATTTGTCACGTGCAGAGCTATCCAAATTCCTGCAGGCACTGAATGGTATCACAGACAAACCGGAAATGACATCAAAAGCTTACGATTCCTCTGATAGTACACTGGAAACTTCCACAGGAACTACACTTTCCACCCTTTTGAGATCGACAAAGACTGTTGCTATGACAACAGCCCAACCTCCGTTTGGCAAACCGTGCTTAGCAAACTTCATGTGCGCATTGTCATGTGACACTGGTTACCAGACAGACGATGATGCATGCCCAGTATGTGCGTGCATGGACGATAATGGTAGTATTATAACCATGATATTGTTTTTTTTTATCGATTCTTTTTTCTTGGCATATTTCCAGTCAACATTAAAGTAAATCGTATTTTAATACTACATCAATATCTAAGCCGTCTTTTCTCCATAAGTGTTTCGACGTTGCGCTCCTACAGCAGTCAACAACATAGACAATGTGCAAGAGAAATATTTAAACAAGAATTTCCAATAGAAAATTTATCTTATGTTATGACACAATAACATTAACGTCATTTTTGACGTCACGTTAGATTGGACAATGCGGTGATGTAAGAAATTATCTAGGAATACTGACCAGAATAAACCTTGAAAAAACTGTATTAACATAAAATATTTTCATGTAATTATCCATACAAAACGTAAAACATTGATATTGAGATGTTTTATTCTGTTTGAGCAGTCAGTAGATAGCGACTACATTGTAGTTGTGAAATTAATCAAAGTTTATGTGCTGAAAAACGAAAGAAAATGAAAAACAATGTTGAGTTCATCTTCACTTGATACCTTTTCATTTTTTTTTTTTTTTTTTTTTTAATTTTCTTTGCAAATAGTACATACAGACCCATGTTTTTCAGTGTATTTGATCACAATAAATTGTTTTATTCACTTGTTTGGATACATAATCGTACTCGTAATAAAGTAGAAAATGCGTCCTTCAGGTCCAATACCAATTCTAGTCAAATCGTGACGAATGCGCGAAACTTCTACTTGCACTGCATGTAACTCAGTGTCTTTTATCTGTTTAACACTGAATCTCTACACTTTTCACATCAATTCTCGAATTTCTAGTTTACCTAAAAATTGTCTTTGATAACAATAGAATGAATCTGTATTGCAGACAAAACAACCATAATGGATCCCAGTACGACTCCACTCCAGAGTACTGGGATGGTACTGTGCCCGGGAATCTTTGACTGTGACACTGTTTGCATGACAGGTTACCAAACAGATGCAAACGGCTGTCCTATTTGTCAGTGTGAAAACGATTGACGAATCAGCTGTTTAGTTCTTAACTCTACCGCGGCGTATATTTGTGTACATGAAACAATATCTGTAAATAAATTGGATTTTGTAAACGAGAAGTGCTGCTACATGATGACTTTTGCGTTGTTAATTTGGTCAGTCAACATGAGGTTGGTAAATATCATTTGTGTTAGAATTTGCTACATGTTTACCTACTCTCTGCATACATTAAAACTATCTATATGGACAGCCTGTTTGTTCCTTCCCTACGATGGCATTCATCATTTCATTTACATATAAACATCTAAGGTTCATCTAAATGTTCCTTCGGACACGTTTATAGTGTCATCACACTGCAATATCACAGGCTTAGAAAGGCAGCGTAAACCACAAACCAGTCACATAATACTGACAAATGTCTAAATCAAAATAGGGCAGGTCAAGGTCGTCTCTGTTTCCAATATATTTATTTTTGCATAGTTATGCCTATTACAATCTTGAGGAAGAAATGAAGAAGCGAAATGCTAATTGGATTGGATGCGGTCAGCGGCTGTTTTTCAAATACGATTCCAGTTTGAAATTTAAGTCTAATTTAGTGTAAAGTTAAAACCAACATGAACCACTACATACTGAAGTCCTTAACATTCCATGTGCTGACAAAAATAACAGGCAAGATTGATTAAAACAAGAAAAGTACGGCTATTGAATAGGAAAACTGAAAACATCAGATACGAATATAAAAATATTATGAAATGGAATTATAGATAAATAAGGCAGCATAATGGACAGTGTTGACTTCTAATATATCAAGGTGTTCTTGCTACTCCAGCAACATAAATATAAAGAAATAAGGAAATGAACCATATCTATATTTAAATGACGCAAAATAAATGAGTTTACTCAATATATATACATTGTATTTGAAGGGTGATAGAAAATAAAATTTTCTTTGGAATTGTCCGAAAGAGCATAAAATATTGTACAAAAAAGTCTTAAAAAGTGGATTGATGTCAAGCTACGTTTTCGAAAACGAAAACACTTGCATTCATAATAAAAGAAATATTTCTAAACTGATGATAACAAAAATACATACTGAGTTGATAATCAAACAATACTGTTTTTATCTATTTTTTGTGGATGCATTGGGTCGCATAAGACTTGGACGTCATGGTGACTCTGGCTGTTTAAAAATAGTTCTAGTACTATGATTGAACTAAATATGGAGCCGGAACCTTCAGGTCTAACATTAAAGATAGGGTCTGATACAATCAGGAACAGGCTTGTAAGAATCGGTAGCCGGAATGGAAATCTATAGTTTGACCATGTCAGAGGAAATGGAATCTTAACACAGGTATAGGAAGGTCATTAAGCCTGCAATTTATCACCCTTGTCCTGTCATACTTGACCCTATTAGTTTGAAAAAGTTTATCTGAGCCATATTTAGACGATGACGTCACATCGCACTTGTTCACATAAGATAAGGATGCCAGGTCGAGGTGAGGCTCACAAGGGGAAATTACGCTATGGATTAAGAGAGACTAAAACACACGAGTTGTACTCCACAGCCCGATTTAATGGAAAGGCTAAATAATTAAAAATAGCGAACTTACTACAATTCATAACCCGTAGCGTTTGATGATTGATTATGTGTCAGATTATGTAACTATTCGATAACCCTCGGTCTTTGACCCAGAAATGCATAATAATGTACCGATTCAACTATTGACTCTTTGCCTGGTTACTGTTGTCTATTCCCTTCTCTTGACTGGCCTAACAACCATTAGAATGTATGTTGGTTTATCTTTAGGATCGTGTTTAATTTTAACCATCTTTGTCGTAATAGGTGAGTACATGCATCGTTCATGTCATTTCTGGCTTTACAACGTTCAATACAGACGTTCAGGTATTTTGAATCTGTTTCATGAGATAACGGAAACAAAGGTTTCTGGTATACACCGTGTGAGGTACTTATGATCTAGAGTAAAGTGACGTAACTTTGTCATGAAAGTTGATAAGTTTTATTTTTTTCCTCTCAAATTTAAGCGCAAAAGGTAAAAATATAATGAAACCCCTGTTTAATACAAGTATTCATGGGGTCAATTACAAAACATTACCCCAGTGCAATGTGAAGAAGAATATTTCTATCACTACAGATTTAAGGCTTACACTAATGGTAAATTAATACCTATTTACATCATCATTTTCAACATACTAACATGTTAATAATTATACGTATGAATAAGTAAGAATTACACAAAGGCTACACATATATGTAAAACCTCCGATAATTATGTAGCATTCGACGTAGGAGAAAAAACGTAACTGCGTCGTACAGCTTTTCCGACCCTCAAGGATTCGTAATTAACGTTCATGGACTAAGTTGTTGATTAGGATAAGTAAACACTGATCCGTTAAATAAATATAACCTCGAAATTCTATAAATCATATATACTGCTTTATCTTGATAGAAGGTTAAGTACATAGATGGAGTCTACTAGCAGTGTATATCACCTACTGTTTTTGTATACTGTATACAAAATTTTCAATGACACCTTTCAATAAAAATTAGAATTGAAGTTGACAACGTTTATAGAATAGTGACAATATTTGTACAGCAAAAACCATTTTCTTAGCTATAATGTGGCCATGACTATTCTTTAGTATCAATATACTTTATTTGTTTATTTTATTTTATATTTTTTTGTGTTTTATCATTTATTACTGTCCGTCTATTGTTTGAGCGTTCTCTACACGAGAAATGCTTTAATCTCACAGAAAACGTCAGTGACTTAAGAGCGTTCGTTTAGAAACTTCAAACTCATTCTAACACTATAATTAATTAACTATATCGACGAAGATAGTTATTTGATATGCGTTTCCATAATGAATCTGAAATGCAGCACCTCCCTCTTCAAATCTAAGCGCAAACGTCTTTTATGATAGTAAACAATACCACTAGCACATCTAGAGACCCGAGGAGTTACGAAATACCTTAACTGTTGAAAGGAACATAAGTTTGACGATATTTGTTATTTCAAAACTACAAACAAAACAGATGACTATAAAACGTGTAAATCAAACCAACTTTGCAATTAACAGGTCATATGGACACAAATTGTTTTATAGAACCTGAATTGAATTGTCAATAAAGATAATTTTGCTTTCGTCATCATTATACATACGCTAATGTCCGTTCAACCGCCAGGAGAAATCGGGAGATGTTTTATCAAAAATGTAATTTTCGATTCGTTTTCAAATGACTTTTAGTTCTTAGAATGAATTTGCCCGTAGAGATTTTTTTTTTTCAAAATCAGGAAGTTCATTTTTGATAATAAGTTATAGTTAGTTGTTAAATATATACCGTATGTTAATTTGATTCTAGCATGGAAGATGAGTATCATTCATCTTCTAAGGCACGGCTTAATTATTACATACTGTATTAACAAATGCTTATCCCTCATGTGATATAAAATGTAAAAGCATTTTGATTGGCTGACCCACTGATTTTTGACCGGAAAGGCGTTTTACGTACTCGCGGTATCAGGACACGCAATGCAAAGTCCATGAAATACTTTATAATTGCATCAATGGATTTATTTAACTGAATATGATAAACAAGTTATTGAATGTTTGGTGTGTAGTAAATAGCCTTGTTTCCAGATATTTCTGATATTGTTAATTTCACATACTAATTGACGGTTTTTAGTAAGACCTATCTGATTTCGTTGATAAAACACAACTTGTTAGAGAACATGTCAGCTCAGCGTTGGAGTAGCTCTTTTATTGTCTTAGAAACAGGTCACACAAACTCCTGGTTGTTGAATATGGCATCTCGTCCATTCTAAAATCAACTGTAAGAAATATATATATAGCAACCAATTGTTCGGTCACCTCTATTTACCGATCCTCATGGTACGGATAATGAAGTTAAGTCTAGGGGTTACCGTTCAGTTTCTCATTTCAGTTCCTTGTTAACTCTGGGTTACCGTTCAGTTTCTCATTTCAGTTCCTTGTTAACTCTGGGTTACCGTTAAGTTTCTCATTTCAGTTCCTTGTTAACTCTGGGTTACCGTTAAATTTCTCATTTCAGTTCCTTGTTAACTCTGGGTTACCGTTAAGTTTCTCATTTCAGTTCCTTGTTAACTCTTGGTTACCGTTAAGTTTCTCATTTCAGTTCCTTGTTAACTCTGGGTTACCGTTAAGTTTCTCATTTCAGATTTTTAACTCTAGGGGTTACCGTTCAGTTTCTCATTTCAGTTCCTTGTTAACTCTAGGGGTTACCGTTAAGTTTCTCATTTCAGTTCCTTGTTAACTCTGGGTTACCGTTAAGTTTCTCATGTCAGTTCCTTGTTAACTCAAGGGGTTACCGTTAAGTTTCTCATTTTAGTTTTTTAACTCTAGGGGTTACCGTTAAGTTTCTCATTTCAGTTCCTTGTTAACTCTGGGTTACCGTTAAGTTTCTCATTTCAGTTCCTTGTTAACTCTGGGTTACCGTTAAGTTTCTCATTTCAGTTCCTTGTTAACTCTAGGGGTTACCGTTAAGTTTCTCATTTCAGTTCCTTGTTAACTCTGGGTTACCGTTAAGTTTCTCATTTCAGTTCCTTGTTAACTCTGGGTTACCGTTAAGTGTCTCATTTCAGTTCCTTGTTAACTCTGGGTTACCGTTAAGTGTCTCATTTCAGTTCCTTGTTAACTCTGGGTTACCGTTAAGTTTCTCATTTCAGTTCCTTGTTAACTCTGGGTTACCGTTAAGTTTCTCATTTCAGTTTTTTAACTCTAGGGGTTACCATTAAGTTTCTCATTTCAGTTCCTTGTTAACTCTGGGTTACCGTTCAGTTTCTCATTTCAGTTTTTTAACTCTAGGGGTTACCGTTAAGTTTCTCATTTCAGTTCCTTGTTAACTCTAGGGGTTACCGTTAGGTTTCTCATTTCAGTTCCTTGTTAACTAACTCTATGGAATATATGAGAGATCAAATTGATTAAACTGTGACATCATAGTCAGACCACACAAAAGTTGTTTTGTTTAAATTAATTGTGAAACAAGTCTACAAAAACAAGCGCATTGGCTAGAACCAGCTTTTCCGACTGAAATTCCGTGTGGCTAGACAGGTAATATTAAACCTTTCTTGATTGGATAATCGTCAAAAAGTGGTACAAACCCGCCTCTCTAAATGCTCAGTGTCATTAGCAAGACGACACCTAACAATATAGGCGTAGGCTTGTAGGTGGAAAGCTGCTGATATTTCCATTGTGTACATTGAATATGTTACCACTATCAATAACGTAACTATGAGTTACAGTTTTATCAGTAATTTGTCTCCGTTTTAACCAACAGATTGCTATCCCGAGAAAAGGTTCTTAGTATCAACCAATGACCATCAGAGATTTTTCTGTTTTCCACCAATCAGCTACTGCCATTTACAATGTCCGAATGGCTACACCAACTCGTCGAATGGCTGTCTTCTTTGTCAGTGTCGATCTCCAAGCCAGGGTAAGTACATACGGGAACTAGTCAATGGCATGTTTGATGATAATGCGGCAAGGAAACGTGATAATTTCACTCTTTGGAACATCTGATGTTTTTGGCCTTGTGCGTTTTGCCTCCTTGAAAATATTTGTATTCATTTTGCCTCGGTCGATAAATTTGAGATTTACTTATGATTATGCTTACATGTTGATATTTTCTTGTTGTTTTTGTGTTAAGTTCAATGATTTTAGGATGAATTCTATTCGATAAACTCATAAGTCTGCAGGTATAAAGGTGTACTCACAAAATTGCTTTTTTTTAGCAGGCGTAACCTCGGCGCCATATCATCCACAGGCTCCTCAAAGTTATATTCCAAATTCATTATCACCCGGAACATTAACATCCGGGTCAGCTAAACCCGGATCACAAACATCAGGATCATTTACATCCGGGTACAATATGTTCACAAATCCATGTCAGCCACAGCAGATGTTCTGCTCCCTTACGTGTCCACACGGCTTCCTTACTGGAAATAATGGCTGCCATTTCTGCTTCTGTGCCTCAGCGCCACACGGTAAACTTAACCGTTTAAAGTTACTGACAATATTGTTAGTAAAGAACGAAACACAAATAACGGAAGTGTCTATTCTTCATTTAAGTCATCAATGATATAAAAGTCTGCAAGAAACGTATATTTTCAATTATTCCGAGATCTGAAAAAGTATCAACTTAGTTAGTAAAATAATATGACTGGTGAAATATTGCATGTTAAATTTATTTGATTTTCACCAAATTTGGATCAATTTGAACTTGGCTGATTGTATTCATTTGCATTTCATGTTCTATGTCTCATCAATGATATTGGCAAAATACCTTCAAGGTTTAAAGCATTTTCTGTCATAAATAGGTACCAAAGCGCCACCAACGACTACATCCGGGCCACTCACTCTTCTGAATAACCCGTGCGTGGCGAGTCATCACCACTGTGCACTCCAGTGTAACAACGGTTATTTGAAGGGCCCCTACAACTGTAACTATTGTCTGTGTAAACCTGACGGCCTCGTTATCACAGTCAACAATACAGGTACCATATAAATTGATATATATTGCATATTTATCACTTAACAAGCTTATTGACTAAGTGATAAAAGAAGCTATTTTAGTTATTCGTTTTGGCGTCATTTTTACGTTGGGATGACATGTTATTCTAACAATTTTAGTGGCTCCAACAATGACATCAAAGCCTACCAGCCCTAACCCCACGGGCATCGTCCTCCCCAACCCTTGCATCCCAAACCAGCTCCCATGCGCAATGTCGTGCGCAAACGGGTTCGTAAAAGGCCCACAGGACTGTCAGTATTGCTTGTGTGCCCCGTCTACCGTCACAACCACGACAAGACCTACTACAAGCATTTCAGCTGACGTCAAACGTAAGTTTTGAAGTAACCGGAATCTAGCTTTTGATTTTTAAATGTTTATAAGCTTTGTTTTGTCACCATCCTGACCGACTTGGACAGAAATTTAAAAATGAGAGATACAATGTACATAAAACTGCAATATCTAAATCAGATAAGGAAACTGTTCGTTGCAGGAGACTCTTATTATAACCATAGTTATGTTTTCTATTTATACATAGCCGCGGTAAGTCATGATTCACACAAAAACGCTTCAGTGGCGTCACTTCCGGTTGCAAGTACGATCAGTCCCGATGTCGCGAACGAGTGCATCATCGCAACGACCATCTGCCAGCTCAAGTGTTCGGGGGGATTTATGATCGATCCACAGCATTGCACTTTCTGTGTTTGTAAGGACGAGATGTATAACAAAAGTAAGTAACAGCAGAACGTATGACAAATTTAATTTCATTTTTGCTTTTTCGTTTTTTTTATCTGTTATCTTCTTAAATATATAAGTGATTTTCGGTTGCTATAATTGTCTAGTTAGGGCTAAAGCTGTTGAGGAAATGATGCATACCTACTACCTTGGCAATTGTTGAACTTTAATGATAAATAGATCATTGTTCGACCAATCACATATGTCTATTTAGGATTCAACTGATTTGTATTCTTTCTTCACGTCAAAGGTCAAGGTCAAATTTTGTAAAATAAATAAATAAATAAATAAATTTATGTTAGGATTAAGATTTTATGACGCAAGCTTTTTCCTCAAGGAGGGGCTTTGATGTTATATGTTAAATAGGGTACAACTTCATAACGTCCTAGGAAATCGAAAATTTTCCAATGAAATCGTTATGACAACCATAAAACGTCCACATAATTTTCATTAGCCTGCATTTCTTCATGCCCAAGGTTGTTACTTTACCTGTCAGTTGTGTTCATCATGCACGAAAATGTCAATACTACAAACCAACAGTCAATATGGACCCAGCAGTGGCAAATGTACCTATTGTTGAGGAAGCGTGGATGCCGATATCCGAACATAAATTAAATCACGTTGGAAAATTGAAATCATCATTCTTGTCATACAGCTTAGTGGAAAGCTGTCTTCGTTGGTTTCTTTTAGAAAAATACCGAAATAAGCTGATGTTGTAGATGAGCCAGCCATGTCCTTGATTCCCAATTCTGGTGGGTATATACATTGAATATGGTCAATATTGTTATTGCTGATTATTAAATCATTATTAATATTTCTGAAATGAAATTATATGTCTTTACAATTTACAAGGTCTTTGTGACCTGTTTCAATGTCATCTTAGACAATGTCTACCTTGCACGGATACACGTCAGTCAGGAGAGGGACATAGCTATGAAATTGAGAAGCGTTATTCACCAACCTCGACCGTATATTTATCATTAACTGGCAACCTGAATTATTGCAATATTGAAACACATTGAGCTGGTGTTTCTTCTTCACAAGTGTAGGTAGGATATCCCTCAGAGTGGAACAGCCCAGGTCCATATTTTATGTTGGAAATTTAATATTTGCAAACTAGGATTAAACTATTGGATGTCTTCTCTCCAGACAAGATAACATATCAATCATTTAAGCGGTGAAGTGTGGATCGGATCAGGATATCGAGATAGAATATGAACCCGCTTGTTCTTATTTAATGCTCTCTCTTACATAGCTTTCCATTAAATTCATCAGTATCCTGGAACTCACCTTCGAAACGATGGACGGGTTTTCACGGTATTTTAAGCCCATTCATGTTAAACTCACATTGTTAAACTTTTTCGAAAGTGTTCAAACTATTAGTTATAATGTGCTAACCCATATTCCTAGTCGAGAACAAGAACAATATCTACAAAATCCCTAGGTTATATACATTCAAGCCTTGCAGCGTATGTTTGTGATTGTAAGAAATGACAAGGGTATCCGTATATTAAGGTATTAGTTGGACGTCACCTTAACAGGTCATGATGTAAACTATTACTGATGCTTATAACATCCACCCTTGTTTGCAAAATCAACTTTCAACTTGCCGGGTTGTTTAAAAAAACGGCGAATCGTACAGTAAACAAAATTATTACATTGAAACCTAAAGGTTTCTGTAAAGTCTCAATAACAGACACCTAATGGTATCTGTAAAGTCTCAATGACAGACATCTAATGGTTTCTGTAAAGTCTCCATAACAGACACCTGAATGTATCTGTAAAGTCTCCCTAACAGACACCCAATGGTTTCTGTAAAGTCTCCCTAACAGACACCCAATGGTTTCTGTAAAGTCTCCATAACAGACACCTGAATGTATCTGTAAAGTCTCCATAACAGACACCTGAATGTATCTGTAAAGTCTCAATCGCGAACTTTCTACCTCTTCAGATATATTTGTGGGTACATAATTTCGGGAACGGTGATCTCGAAATGTAGAAACGACATTTTTCACGAATGATGGGTCATTAGATATATGGACCCCAATATCGGTAACCGAATCAGCATCTACTCGTGTATAAACCCAAAATGATTTCCACGCGAAATTTGTAGTATGGCACGGAGAAAAGGTGTAAAAAGATAATCTAGTCGTTAAAATATCTCTTAATCGCTATCCACCGTGACCTTGCCTTCCATGTCGCACCAAAATACAAAAACAATAAACGGACCTTGAACTTGCTTTTTGTAGTGCTTATCACCTTGTGCTTGTTCGGAGGGTGTACTTAATTCAATATAACTTTATTATAATTCCTTCATTAGTTCGTAGCAGCCTTACCGAAACTTTAAACCACAATAAAAAAATAGTTGACTAAATATTTACTAGAGGTGAAGCGCTTTAGAACAGGGCGTTTAAAATAAGTAGTTGCTCGTTACTCTTAACATGAAATAGTAAACTTCTGTTTTATTTACAGCGGGAATTCACAAATCCGATGAACCGATGATCCTACTGCAAAATCCATGTGTGGAGGAAATGGACTCTTGTAGAATCTTCTGTATGACAGGATACCTACGGGGACCGAAAGATTGTCAGTACTGCGCATGTCGACATTAGCACTTTCCGTTTCCGGTTCTTAAATGTATATAAAATGCATGCATCCAAGAAAAAACATTAGTACGTGCGTGTACATTTCAAAATTATCCACTAATATATCTTCGTCTATATGAAGGTTGTAGTATTATCTTTATTATAAGAGCTGTATTTTGTTGTACGATTGATGTTATAAAAACAAAAACAAATATTTACATTGTTCCTTTATTTACTGTGCAAAAAGATATTTGATTTTGCATATTGCATTTTCGATATATTAATTGAATGTTTCTGAGGGACGAGTTTTCGTAATATTTTATATTGTCATACATGGACTAAATAAAACACACCAAATATATACTTCTCAGTATATGTCCAAGTTGTAGACAAAATTATTACGTTTATGTATAATGTCAGAAAAAAATGCATTGTTGGAAGTGACACAAAGCCGTAGGGAGGAATTTAGTACCTGTCTTATTAGGGTTTCATAACGCTCAGATGGTACAAACTTCCCTGCCAGGACAAATAACTAAATACCTGCTGGCTGCATCGACTTCCTGGCACAAACAAAAACATGTCTTGTTTATCTTGGTACTGACAAAATAATTCTTACGCATGTTTTCACCTATTGACGAAAAAACGATGTACCAGTATTGTTATAACAAGAAAGTGGAATATTATAAAGAATGTAATGTGTTCAAGAATTCACAGAATTACTCCACTATGTGTAAGTCGTCTTTTAAACAAACGCCAACCAACCATTCCCCACCCTCTAGTATGCTGCTGAACAGGTCAGGACTAACTTGAATCTTCTTTATGTCTTTGAAATGTCACCAGATATTTATCTTTTAGTGTATGTAAACAACATGCAATCCATATGAAAATGTAATATTTCTCCGTATACATTAATAAGTGTATAGATTGGTAAATGTCTTTAATAAACAAATGAACTACGAGTCTGATGGGGCCCGTGTTAATTTCCATAGTGTAAATTTCATCTGGAGAACACAGTCCATTTTAATAGAAATATACGTGTTTGTTATAGCATAAAGTATACACTCTGATAATATGACAAACATAATTGTATGTAATTAAGCAAAGCTGCACGAATAATGAATAGTAAAGAAAACATATGATAAAAGACTTTTCAAAGACTAATTTGTATACAAGGATAGAACGCATGCGTCTTAAAACATAGATTATACGAAGAAAAAAAAAAAAAAATCCGCGAAACGTAATTTCGGTTCCGAGAAAATGAGTCAATCTAGTTCACAGAATTACACACCCAGTACATGGAAATGGGTTTAATTCTGTGTATGGTTTTAGTCAACACTTACGTATAACATGCCACATCGCACAATAGTCGCCAAAATTAAATACCTGGAGTGTGTTACTCAATACCCCAACTTCTGACAGGTAAGACCTTTCATGTCTACACATGAACAGCATTGCAGTGATAAAGCAATTGTGTATTGTGAAGTGTTTCATAACAACCTTGGCCGATTTTGTTTTTTCTCTTCGTTCAAAACACGTGACATTTTCTGTGCTGTCCATATTTATGTGCAGTATAATTTTTATTAAAGTAAATCGAGGTATATTAGGTGTACTCTCTGTGCATAATAGAATGAAAGAAATCATTGTGTTCATAAACTAAAGCGGGACACATCTGTTTATATATCATTTGATATCATGATATGTTTTATCTCTGAATACAACATTCTACAAGTGAAACAGACACAAATTAGATGTACAAATATCCATCGCATTGAAGGATTTTTCGGTATTAGTGTCAGGAAAGCGTATCAAATATTTACATTGCGTGTTATAATGTAATAAAAACTGTAACACATTGAATATCAAATTACCACATAGAAGGAGCACCAGATTTCAAGTTAGATAGTCCACATGCATGCTAATTTCTCATGATCTAATGTTATGTCTCTAATTAGAGGTTAATATAATTGTTATTCATCATATGATATATATACTAAGACATAATAATAAATGTATGAAGATGGCCGTTAGGCCTGAAAACGTTAGCGGAATACATTTGTCGTGTTGATTTGATTTTTTACAACTATTTAATCGATACACAAAGCATCTTTAAGTTACATACATATATATATATAATCATGAAAGGCCAACAAGGCATTTATATTAGACATATATATTAATTATTACATTACCTATACTGTGAAACTAATTATATATTAACATACTTTCATTTTGCTACTTTTCAATCATATGAACAAACATTATGAACAAAATTATATATTCATTTGATGACTGAGACGTCTGTTTGTTATCTGGTATACCAGATTTATAACCTTAGATATGTTTGTTTCTTCCACGCAATGGATGATCCTGACAACAGAACGTATGCATTTTGTTAGCATTGTCTTAATGGTGTGAATCATCTGATTGTCTAATTCATGATACTGCTCTTGTCTCTCGAATCAAGTAAAATATTGTTGTAACACAATTCCTTTTCCTCGATGAGATGAGGTTGTCTCACTTTTACACATGGGCCACATCTAAATCACACACGGGTATATTATACGAAGTTAAGTCATGCATGTCTGACATATTAAATTGTACCATGATTTTTACGTGTAATGCAGGAATGAAAATCTTATACGGTAACAGTGCTGCTCATATTCCATACAAGACCATATGTTTTCATGCAATTCGTATAACTGTGTATATTTCCTTTTGCGAGTTTCCTTTTCTAAATTGCTAATATATGAGCCAAAAAGCAAAACAAAACAATCAAATGCCGATATGCCAATTAAATGCGGATCAGAATCTGGATACACAACAATACCAAGAAGGATGAGGCTACCACAAAAGCCGTTCCTATTCCTGCTGTATTTCCATTGATGTGTGCAGCCGTGTCCGGGTCATCTAAAACCGAAAATAATGACATATCTTATAAACAAATTTTATAAAAGGGCGTTATGTTATAAATTACTACATTTTTTACACATCTAATACTGAATATTTTAAACACGACCATCAGTTTGAATGTAAATTCAATCTTCTTATTATCTATATCCGGCTACATCACTGTAATGGATGTATTACATTATATAATATATTATATTATCGATGTATTACAAAATATTGTCAGTTCTTACCATCTTGCTGAAGTCTGATATAGATGTACTTGGACACCTTTTTTTGACACAGAGGATTACTCCAACCACTAAAGGTCTGTACTCGAGTAACGATGAAGATAGCAGGGGCAGGATACAAACATTCAGCTTCCGTAGGAAATTCAGAATGTGTGTCAATATTTCGTGGTGCCCACGCTGTACCTTGGCTATTATCAATTATAAACAATACATCGGAAGCGAATTCACATGCTTCGCTTACCAAGCGGCTTGAAGATGTGAAAGCAGTCCAAGTAAATATTGTATCAACTGTGTATTTATCTGTATCAAATTCACGGTAACCGCGATAGGTTGTGGTTTTGCACGCGCTCAAAGATGTCCACTGCGTCAATACGACGTTCAACATCAACGCGTAAGAACCGTATGAGGAATATGACTGCTCTTTGTAATTTCTTAGTACATTATTAAGAGTACGATAAAACCCCATTTCGTATGTGTAAACTTCTATAATTCTGTGATAAAATTCTTCAAATGTGTCAGCGCCCTTAATCGTCTTGGTAATACCCGTCTCTTCGGCATTGCGTAAATCATTGTATATGGCGTCTTTCTGCTGTGTCCATGCCTCTACACTGTGACTGTTAATGGCTTCCAATGTTTTCAAGAAATTCTTTCCATCTTGCGTTTGGTCAAGGAATACGCCTTCGTGTCGTTTCATAGCGTTTATCATAACGGTATTTCCATTTTCTTGTTGGTCAACACCAAAAGCTTCCAGTTCGAAGGTAGGTTTACTCTCTGTAGATCTCTTCATAATGTTCCTGGCTATAGGGATATCCCGAACATCTCGTACTTACTTCTGTCTATCATGTTGTTTGTAAATACTGGCTCCAAATGTCACAAAGACGTTACACAGAAGAAATACTGCTAGGGAGATTGATGCCATTTCTGTGATCTACCTAGACGAGGTTTAAATGTCCGTTAATAAAATGATCATCGAGAGCCGATGCCTTTATGTACAAGGATAGAACGCATGCGCATTAAAACAGATTATATACAACAAATATCCGCGAAATGTAATTTCGGTTCCAGGTGTATGGTTTTGGTCAACACTTACGTACAACAATATCGTAAAAATAAATCAAGTGAAGTGCTTTATTCAAGCTAATGAATATTCAATGACACTAGTATTTTCACATAGATCGCTTGCAAAACAACGAAAGGCACCAAAATAGTAGGACAGGTAGGGCAACGTGTTCAATATAGACAATCAATCTACACTTATTTTAACATAAAGAACTATGTACAGTCACCCAAGCGTGTAATTCACGTACTCGCCTAGCCACCCAGCCAACCTTACCTGTTGAACTGTTACAATCAAGCAGTGGTATGCGTGTGTGTCGCTATAAATAGTAACGTGCTCGTGGTTTGTTTACATCTTGAGTAATCAAAAATATATTCATGACAGCGGCCAACTACAGTGCATTTGAAACCGGTCTCAAACGATCTCGTTGCGATCTTTCCTCGTCGTCGTTATCGTCTGCTTCTCCGTCCTTTTCGAGGGACATTAAAAAGAATAAATTGTGCACAAACTTATATAGTCCTTACACATCTACACCAAAGTCGTTGAGTAATTACATCCGACCTCCCTATGCCTCAGCAGTCACCCAGCCTGGTGCCCCACCTAGCCATGTTCAGCATCCACACGATCAGCATCCCCAACCCCAGCCAGCATCCCAACTGCCCTCGTACAGTCCTACTCATTATGATCAGCCTGGAAATATCAGTGATGCTGATATCCAACGTATCGCCAACGCAGTGAAGGTCAGTTTGCTGACGGACTTAAGTGCTGCTGTCCATGATGCTGTGGCTCCTCTCATGGAACGCGTTTCTGTTCTGGAAGCCGAGAACCGGGAC